TTAGCAATAATAGGTTGCGTTTCTTTAGTTGGGCTCACCAATGTTGAATTGTGGTCTACTATGATATTAGTACTGCTCTAATAATAGACCTAATCCTAAATTTGTAGATTTGTCATGATATGACTGCCTAATCCATAAGATCTTACGTGGAAGTCACACCATCGACTACACCAACTCACTGTATCGTATCAATTACCAATACATGATGTAGAACAAGGTTAGGCTAGAGAAAGAACAATATATTTAATATGAAAAGAAGATATAAGGTAACATTCAGCAGAGACCACGCCTGCATGGCCGAGCCACGCCGTTCGATCAACTCTAGTCTATTCAATTCATTATTCGCGCCTTCTCCATCGTTAGGTATTTCTTCGCGTTAAATATTGAATACCTATTTTCCGAGTAATCTCGTATTCAGCTTTGAGGATAGTGTGGTTATGGTCCAATGCCACTACACTACTCTCCCACCAGAATCAACGTGGTGTTGGTTCGATACCCAATTGGATGGGACTGTAGTGTGACGAAGGTTACCAAGAATACTAAGATTCCTCCGGGTGATGACAAGCTGAAAGATAAATCAAAAAGAAGACGGCAGCATCTGGTCGGGAAATACATGTAATAATTTTAAAATATCTGCCTTCATGCTTAACACGCTTACAATGAAAATTTGAGTGATTATTTGAGCTATAAAAAAATGGGATTACAATAATAATAATAGTAATAATAAAACGATGCGTGTGTAATAGCCGTTGGTTGATAACTTAACGTATAGGTAGTAAGTATTTTGTGTTTAGAAATATTAAAGTTATTAATATTGTAGAAATGTTAATATTAGTACTACTTTTAGTCTAACTTATGAAATCAAATAACGATTATGCCTGTAAGTTGTCCATATGAGTCGATTTCCAATTTCATCTGTATTAGTAGGCTAACTGAAGGAACAAAAGTATTACCGTGGAGAAGAATTCCAACTAGTGTTCCAGTTAGTTTGATACGGTTTGTTTAGTTACGGGGAGATTTTCTCAACCTCATTTTTACTTGACCGTGATAGAATTTATTAATACTACTAATACACATGAATGGTTATCAAAACAAAATTTAGATACGTGAGTGGTAATTATGTGAATTTTGGACAGATAGCTAGGAACAAATCGTTAAACATGAGTGTATTCTTAAGAAACATGCTCTAGACTCAATGTTCTGATCTGCGGCAGACTATTCATTTATATCTATACTTGCCGGCTGATTGGGTATACAAGTTAGTTGAAAGTATGCAGTTTATCATAAGGCGGAACACGATTTAATTGAGATATAGTGGTTATACGTTATTGAAATTAGTTAAACCTATGTGTCATATTACTAAGTGATGTGGTGCTGCAAGGTGTATTTGGCTAAATAATTTTTTACAAGATGATTAATAGTGAGTGATGCTCATGTGATTATCAGGGAGAACATAAGTTGTAACCAAGGGGAGTGCACTCCCAACTCATGCCTATGATAATAGCTTGAACCTTAGTCAGTGTTGGGGTAAATTCGACATTGATGTTTTCAGTTTGCAGGAGATTTGCTCGACTGCTTATACTGATTATTTGCATGCATGATTGTGTCGCTAAACCATCAATTAGACTGACAAAGTTTTGAGATATTTACTGAATGAGCAATTGATAGAGAAACATACTGTAATCATCTGTAGTGAATGAAGAAAAACAACACTAGTGATAATTATAAGTCAGTTTGCTGACCGATTTTGTTAATAGTTTCATTAATTTTATCAATCATATTACGGGATTGTCAAGTCATGACAATGCTTTATGAAGATATCCTGAAACTATTATGTTTAATTAGTTATAGTGTTGATTGAAGATTGGCCAGTGGAAAAATAGGCATTGTTGTTTTAGGTGATTCAAAATTATCAGAAATTCATAACGTTAAAGAATCCGAGACGCCTAATTTAATTATAAATTTCAATTCAGAAATATTTGTTTAATGTTAATTCTAGTAGGCTACGGAGTTTAGATTTTAAAAGTTTGTTCAACCAACAACTACCTGAGGATTTAGTAATTTTACTAGTGCAGTTGATAGTACCTAAATTTTTAATCTTATTATCTAAATTATGTTTGCATTTTAGACTGCTAATATGATAAACCAATCCATAAATCCAAATACGATTAGCAACAATGACTATGATGGGTTTATTAATAAATGTTAGAGGCGATCCAGATGATTTCTAAATTTAGAAGACATGGAGATATAGTGTAACGTATGTATGAACCAGGTTAACATGCAGGTTGTTGACGTATATGACGATTTAAAAAGAATGAACATGACCAGACAAGTAATTTTAAAGTTTAGACTGCTTGTGAAACTTCAGGCAGGAATATGATGCGTTATAAACATTCTATAAGAAGTTACTGCATTTAGCCTAAAGATACTTATAAATATGTGGCAAACGCAACTGGAAAACATATACATGTTAAGTACAGAAAAATCATCCAGTAAAATAGTTGAACTCGCCTGGGTTATTTTTGAAAATTAGATTATTCAGTGGACGACATATATAACGCCATTCGTGAGGAGTAATGATCCAAAAGTATCCACAATAAAACATGCAGTGTGGCAATTAATTCCAGGGTGCTTGATGCTGTTGCCACTCGCTCAGATCAAAACAATCGAATGAATCCAGATAATTGTGTCAGCCATTGAACGAGCCATCTAAAATGACCTTATGATTGCAGGAAACTTATGGCTGAAACTCACCGTATGTTTTTAGAGAAGTGTCATCCTTGTTGTTTGGCAATGGAACTCGAGAATATGAAATTAGGCAGGCAGTGGTCGGAAGAAAAGGATAGTGCATAGTTTAAAACAGGATGAGGTGTTAAGCGAAGAAACACTAAGAAATGGATCCAGATAACTATTCAATCCTTGATTGCATTGTTAGCCAATGTATATTTACGCTATTTACAGGTCATATTTGCTAGAGCTTGATGTTTAAACAAGTTTATGTCGCTGAAGCAGGTAAATGCTATTAAAGCTTGTTAACGAACCATCAAAGCTAATTAGTTGATATAGATGATCAACTTTTATTATCGATTGAGCTAGTAAGTTATGTGAACTAATAGATATAACATTACGATAATATATGTGACCATTAATCAAAGGACTATTAGAATACTGGGTTTACAAAAATAAAAACCGATTGAGAATATTAAGGTGTTAGCAATAATAGGTTGCGTTTCTTTAGTTGGGCTCACCAATGTTGAATTGTGGTCTACTATGATATTAGTACTGCTCTAATAATAGACCTAATCCTAAATTTGTAGATTTGTCATGATATGACTGCCTAATCTATAAGATCTTACGTGGAAGTCACACCATCGACTACACCAACTCACTGTATCGTATCAATTACCAATACATGATGTAGAACAAGGTTAGGCTAGAGAAAGAACAATATATTTAATATGAAAAGAAGATATAAGGTAACATTCAGCAGAGACCACGCCTGCATGGCCGAGCCACGCCGTTCGATCAACTCTAGTCTATTCAATTCATTATTCGCGCCTTCTCCATCGTTAGGTATTTCTTCGCGTTAAATATTGAATACCTATTTTCCGAGTAATCTCGTATTCAGCTTTGAGGATAGTGTGGTTATGGTCCAATGCCACTACAAAGGCGCGAACAATGAACTGAAGGAATTAGGGTTGATCGAACGGCGTGGCTCGGCCATGCAGGCGTGGTCTCTGCTGAATGTTACCTTATATCTTCTATTCATATTAAATATATTGTTCCTTCTCTAGCCTAAACTTGTTCTACATCATGTATTGGTAATTGGTACGATACAGTGAGTTGGTGTAGTCGATGGTGTGACTTCCACGTAAGATCTTATGGATTAGGCAGTTATATCATGACAAATCTACAAATTTAGGATTAGGTCTATTATTATAGCAGTACTAATATCATAGTAGATCATAATTCTACAATGTAACTCAGCTATTGTCGATTGAATAATGCATCTTCATGGAACAAGTTACACACCATACTGAAATTTTTTTTAAAACTAATTTGTCGAAACACTGAGTGAAAAGAAAAATAAACCGTAAGGCTTATCATGTTTGCGTGAAGAAATGTGAAATACCTGCACTCGTTTTATAAAAAAAACGGGGTTGTAGGTCGTATTAAACGTGATCATTTGCATCGTACCGTATAATTTCGTCGAGTCAGACCATTTATAGAACAGATGATAAAATCCAACAAGTAACGCGTTGACTTCGAATCTTATTTCACCATAGATTAAGAACAGAAACAATCATGAATTCCTTCAATCGGATGAGGGCTGCTAGTTACAAGTGTTGCGAGTGCGTTTTACCTTCAGTCACACCGGTTTTTCCCGATTATCGTTTGGCTGATAATCACTCACAAGCCAGTTGATGTGCACACACAGAGAGTATTGGAGTTTGACAACGCATTTCCTCGCAACACATTTAAAATCGAAGTGCACCAACCCAGTCAGAACTAAAAGCTATCAATATATGGGAAAGTGTTTGGTCTGAGCTGATTAGCAGTCGTAAGAGATGCTTAGCATGGCGTACCTACTCGTGATCTCATGAGGACGCGTGACACAGAGCCTACAGTTAGGTGTGTCCAATCAAACTAACGACCTACAGAGCTATTTATTTTCGAGACTTATTTGCCGCTACACATACATTATGTCCAACAAATGAAAAAATGGGGCTTATAGCACCACCTACTTACAACATCTATCACCAGGCCCTATAGCCATAAGAAGGCTTAAAAAGTTCGTAGTCGCTCATAATAGCCATACTTGATCAGTAGTCATGTTATGAGGATGTAAATATATAAAAATAAGTTGATAGCATATAAAACGTAATATATATTGATGACACGACAGTTACTTGAAATTCGTTGATGGTTGTTTGGTCGATAGGCTCAAAAATGATTCCGTAATTTTGATAACAGACAGATAACTCCAAAATTAAGGACACTGTTCAAGATGATGATTGGTTAACCACGTAGAGTTAAAAAACACAGTTTGTAAATGTGTGTGGCGGGTATAAAAAGCGCTGTTGATACCGCAGCAATATGAGGCAGAACATGGTGTGATATATGAAGCGGTATATTTGATGGGCCGTAACCAGTGTGATATTTGAAGTCTACGAATAAAATCGGGGACCGAATCGGACAAAAACGTGTAGTTAGTAACAATTACTGTATAATGTAAGCGAAAATGTAAAAAATTTAAATCGAGACGAAAAGTATTTTTGGTTTTAGAGCTATTGATGCAGGTCAACAGTGCGCGGGGCAAATCTAGTATGCGTTACCTCCGTTCGGAACGTTTTGTCTGGACGTAGATATACAATGATGTGTTGTTTATATACAAAGGACAGTTAATACTACATATAAATGTAAGTCATCAGGCTTTACCGTGTCACGTGCTCCTGTTGAATAGTAGTGTCATGTGTTAACACATGATACTTATTAGTTTATGGGTTTGTGTCAGGTTAGATCTAGGCTAGTGTTTGTACGTGGGATAAATATCGTAGACTGGTGCATGTGTAGCTTCGTGGTTAAAATTTGGCCTAGAGGTTATCTGGGCTGGGAACTGGGTGGACCATCTATTATGCGCAACCGCATACACAGCATTGAAAGGACATATATATTTGCACAGAATATGTGGGATCATGATGAAAGAAAAACAAAGCGCTAGCATGATGTACCGAATTTCACGTAGGGCCTGTCGGTTTTCATCAGGTTAAACTGATAACACTGAATAAAGTTCCTTGTCACTTCGCCTATATTTTTTATGCATTTGGCTTGTTATAAATATAGCTAGGTGCCAGGCAAACAGCCTAGGTTTTTGTGTATCATATACTTGTTTATGTACACATGTAAATTTGTCTTGGGGCTACTATGCTTTGTTGGTGGAAAATATTTAATTCAGATGCCTAGTTCTTTATGTAAATCTTTCTCTTGAAGTCAATTTTTCTAGAAGCGGTCAGTCAATCATAGAAAAAAAATAAAGGTAACTCAACAGGTGGTAATCTGCTTTTTTAAAAGAAGTGTTTTATCTAGACTCATACATTCTGAGTGGTTACTACGAAACAAACCATTGATAAAAACTGTAGTTATTTATGGGGTCTATTTGTAACGCTGACTAGAATCGTATTTCATAACGTGCCTTTTTCGTCATTGTGCAAGGAGATAAAAGGTGTTACCATTTGAAGAATCTAGTCTTCCAAATGACAAATTGGGGATTTAATACATCGTTATAGCCGCCCATCCTTAAAATGAAGTAAGATCTATAGTCAATAACATAAAGTCATAACAGTGGTTTTCGTTTCCAAATTATTATTTATATTGTTTTTTTTAAGCAACCTCCATCGCTTAACCCAAAGGTTTTAGTAAGAATAATTACAACCACATAGCTTTGATTTTTAGGTTCCAGTTTTCCTTATTATATTGTCTGTCTTAATGGTACAATTAATTCGCTGTAATGACGGGATAAACCAGGCTTTCAATGTATGATATTGGTAAAAAAGTAGAGCGAAAAACTTCCTCATTAGGTTTCCATAGGCTTTAAGTAGAATATTGCGATTTTTGACGCCTGTTACTTCTCATTAGTAAGGTTTGTATCTATTATAATCTTGTTCACATAACCTTAGGTGGTTAACACAGTATTCATAAACATTTATTTTATTTAACGACATTGGTTTGTGGAAACAGAATCCAAGATAAATATAAGCTACGCTAATCAGAGAATGAAGTTTTGAAGAGATAAATAAAGGTGATGTGGTATAATCAAGTAAATAAATGAATGTTAGTAATTGGGAAACTTCATCAATTCATGTGGTTGGGACTTGCGCTACGTATAATCTCGGAGAGTGATATTGTTTAATATAGGAGTAGGCTGAAACGGAGCTAGGGTCGGTCAAACGAAACATGTTATCAGTCCATGAAATCATTGACAAGTGGACTATCTGATTGGGATTGACGTTATTTTCTTCCCTTAAAACTTGAGTCCCTAAATCTTATACTTTTCTTTATCTTTCGATATTTAGTATTTTCTACTACTGCTACTACTAATACCGATGCTGTTACTATTCCTACCACTCAATGTGCTGATGTGGTATGGTAATTTAAACTGATACATATGTATCAGGTTTACGTTGAGTATGACTGACTAACTGTCACAAATTGCACACCCACTTTTCCCAATCAATCTTTACGTTGTCGAATGAAGTACAATGTATAATTGATTAACCACCAAGTAGTGACCGATATTGTATTCGTTTAGTCCTTTTACAGCTGATTGGATTTTGCATATAAAGATGCGACGTCGACAATAGTGTCAGCATTTGACATCGCATGCGCCGTGTTGGTATTTTAGATCCTTCGAGGCAATCTACACGGAATCTTGGACCTAGGTTTCGTGCTGTTTGACACCCGTCAGCAAGATCAGTGGTCTGACTTATTTGAATCCTTCAATCAGCTCCAGTTACCTGAATATTACGATACAAATTGTTTACAAGTATTGAGTAACTCAAAACCTACGTCAAGGGTTAATTGTCAACTAGCACTTCAATACCTATTAGATGCGCTTCGATGACAAAATCATTTAGTTGGTGGTAAAAATCATCTTTGACTGCATCCAGCTGCAATGTTGGAGGTTACTTCTTATTTATTTATTTATTTGAACACATAAATATTGGTACAAGGGGGTACCAGATACATATGCGCCACACAAAACAATGAGAATGGGAAGAGAAAAAGAAGGTAAGGTGCGTATAGGAAAAAAGCAATAACGACTACAGCTTAGTGTGTGGTAGCTTAACAATAATAATAATAGGGGAAACGGAGAGGTACAACCAAAGTAATTCTTTCAGTTAGGGAAGTTACAAACACTTTACGCAAGCTTTGCCTGATTTCATTACGCAACAGCCTTCTTTTGTGGTCAAACTCACAGTCACTCGGAATAGACCGATGGGCTTCGATGAGTTATATGGAGCCTGAAGAAACCCAGTGCTTATAAGCGGGACGTTTCGCGAGCCCACAACTGACTGTACCCGCCATTTTCATGGCGTCATGCAATTGCAACCAATGCTCATCTATACTTTTCAGTGGAATGGTAGCTAGCCTAGGAACTAGCTCGGTTCGATACTCACTAGCAACAGAAGTTGCAACCAACTTACATCAATCCTTTGATGGCGGTCACTTCGTTGTCCACTGCAAAGTAAGGTAAGATTGGCACAGACCAGGGCATGTTCAGAGTCCAGATAGGTACTCCAAAAGGAGCGGCAGTCTTGTATACAACCACACCAGCGGTAGCTGATCGCGACGTGGTCAATCTGAGTCCAGGCTTGAGATGCAGAGGGAGAACGCCAGGTGGCACATCGGCGATGACTGTGCCGAAAGTTAGTGCTAGCCAGAAACAGGTTGTGGTCTGTGCACAGTTGCAGTAGACGGTCCCCGTTATCTGACCTGCGATCAACAAGTCCCCATCGGCCACCTAAACGACTCTCTTCTGTACCTAGACGGCCAACCTGAGCATTCAAGTCAACGGCCATTACTGCGATATCTGTCGAACTCACTTTCTGGGGAAGAACTGCTAACTGGTGGTACAATTCATCCTTGATTGCATCCGGGCTGCAATCTGTCGGGGCATAGGCGAAGATGACGAAAAGACATCGTTTCTCACTCCGATTTCTTCTCACTTTGATGGAACTGTCTAATCTAACAGCACATAACCGATTGTTAATGGGGATTCAACCGATTAGTGCTTCCTCAGCTCTAGCGCTTAGTGCGACACCAACGCCAGCAAGACCAGACGAAGATGCCACAGGGTCCTCGGATAAACGCACGTAAAACAAGCTTTTCGAAGAGACAGATGGAGATCGAATTTGTAGTACTTCACCAGAGTCTTGAATACGGGTCTCGGATAGACAGCAAACATCAATATTAAGACTTTCTAAAGACATAGCCAGCCCTATCTGTTGTCCAATCTGCACTAGTGTGCGAACGTTGAAGGCAGCCAGTTTGAATGGTGCACATGGTTTCATAAAAAATGCTTCAGTACTCATATTCGGTGGTAACATACAATTTTCAACCGGACAGTGACTCGAGAACGTTTAAATAGAACCGAATTTCCACCATAGACGAGCTGCTGTATAAGTGGAAAAAATAAGCATAGAAAGAGTAGGAATAAAAGAGGGTGAGTAAATGACGTAGTAAATAATAATAATAATGTGAAGCTTTTTAATTGTAAATCGAAGCGAGAATGGAATTTTCAGTAAATATCGACATTTTTATTTTATTTGTGTGTAGGCTGTGATACTGCCCAGTTTGTTAGGAAATAAGATTGGCACATGTATTTTTGGCCCTGTTATTCACATCACATATCTCAGTTTGCTGACAAAGAGTATTTGTAGTTTAGTTTTTCCTCCTAAAACATTCACTTCATATTTCCCAATCTAAAATCTTCATCAGATGCTCCGGTAAAAATGTGCTTAGTTGTTATTATTAATATTTACAGTCATTGAACTCCGTATTTAGCGTCACCATAATGACTAAAATAACTTGACGAAGCCACTGTCTTAAGGAACTTCTTAGTCCCTGATCGATTTTCGGTTCCATCAAAAATCACATATTTTTTTAACACTAGGTTGTTACTAACCAATGTCTTTCTAACTATATTTTTTTATGTTTAGGAGTGCGAAAAAACCGAAGCTGCCTGGTTTAAACATTCGTGGTAGCTCAAGTAGACACGACTGGGATTCTGTCGGAACAATCAAGTTCTTCACTGACAAAGATGGTGATATTAGTGGTTTAGATGAAGCAATGAGAACTATTAGTATGGGTACTCGGCATTCTGGAGAAGCGAATGTGCATTCACCATCCTCACATGTAGGTTATCAAATGACTAAACGTTTAGTGCTCTCTCTTCCTCCCTCTTTATATATATATATATATATATATATATATATATATATATATATATATATATATATATATATATATATATATATATTTGTGCTGTAAATAAGCATCGGTAAAAAAAACCAATCGGCACTTTGCAAGTAACATTTTGATGGTTATTTCGACTATTATCAAACTAATTATATAAATCAGTAGCATATTAGTTTTTGATACGTTATTATGTAATAATTTTCTACATATCTATTTTTTCTGCTATTCCTCTCAATTCATCTAGACAAGCGACAAAGATTCCACATATACTGGATATACTGATGAGTTTAGTGGGCAAAACAAATTAGATGTTGAAATTGCTGTTGAAGCAACAAGCATTTCTGAATCAATTAGTCCCACGGATCTGATTGATTCAACTGAGTCGGCTAAAGAAACTCATGGTTATATGAATGAATCAAGTTTTAGTCAACAGACAGATGAATCTCTTGGTGTTTTCTCATTCAATAACGATCTAAATACGAACTCGAATGTTCCGAATTCCATCGATGTTTTCAGGACTAATGACAGACATAACTCACTGGACTTAGATGAGTAAGTTTTTTAATCTATACTGTCATGTGACTCAATCAATATTGAATATTGTAAAACTTCTTAATGTTATGCCCTTAGCGTTGATTAAAAAAATATCTTGAAGTTCTGGATTAGGTTCGTTTATGGATTGATTGGCTAATTTTTATACTTTTGTTTTTTAGAAAATTACTCACAATGATATCCGACTCTGCATTATTTACTGGCACAGTTTCAAACACCGATATCATCATATGAGAGCTTTATTATTTAGGCTAATATAAAACTGACTCTCATGTGCATTTATTGCTAACCGTATAATTACAGGAAGAATCACAGTTTATTTCAGGTTTGTTAAACATTACAAACCATGACTCCCAAAATAGATATGGAGAAAATAAGCAGTAAATGTAAAATCTGATTTTCTTCTCAAAAATATCATACGTATGATTTTATTGATTTAGATGATCTCTTTTTACACATTAGAGTCATGTGGTGTAATTAGTTCACTTACAGTATTCTGTTTAGTCATGATTGTACCACCAATTGTTTTTTATATTTTTAATATACATATCATAATCAATCTGTATGGTGTAGTATGTTTTTAGTTTTATTCCTTTATGAACATGGTGAAGGTGGAACATTGGTTCATTGCAATAAAGTGATGTTTTATCACTTCAGATAGCCGTTGAATACTTACTATAATGCCACAATCATTTTATCTTCTCAATAAGTCACTTTGCTAGTCTTCAGTTTTCCATTTCGTTTATTATTGATTACGTCAAGTTATTAGCTAATGTAACTAATAACTTTTTATTTGTATCTGCTTGCACTTTATAATTGATTATCCACATTTATCTGGATTTTGTGCTGAATAATCTTGAAGGTTATGGCGCTTCATTCCTAAATGTTAATTTAGAGGTCTGAACATAGCCTCAATCATTCTGAATTAAACATTGTGAACTATCAGCATCACTCACACAAAAAGGTTTGGCTGAGGGTTAAATAACTCCATTTGTAGCCCTTCTACGGTTACTGTCGGTTTCTAGCTTGAATAGAAGAGAAGGGTTGGGTATGGGGTCAGAAACTTCATCCCATAGAAAACAGCATTATTAAAAAACTCGAAACAGAAAGAGTCATTTAAACCATTTGAACTCCGTTCTGAGCGTTGAAGGATATTCACTTAGAACAGTTATGATGCCTCATGTTGAAAGTCGAGATTCTTCGGAATTCACGAGGCAGACGTCCCTTCTAACGACCAGAAAGACAATTAGTATAGGTACATGGGATGTCCGGACAGTTTATTAGACTGGGGGGGGGACGACCGAATAGCTGTGGTAACGAGGAGATACAACTTGATTGTTCTTAAATTAGGTAAAACCCATTGGACCCAATCTGGACAGAAAAGATTAGTTTTAGGAGAAATGCTGTTGTACTCTGGTCATGAAGAAAATGACTCACACACACAAGAAGTTGCACTGATGCTGTCCAAAGAAGCACGAAGAACACTTATAGGATGGTAATCTCAAATCAAAAGAATGGATAGCGATTGGAAGCACCTGGAAAAGATTGCCCAGGACAGAGTTGGTTGGGGAATCCTGGTCGGCGGCTTATGCTCCTCCACGAAGGGTTTCAACGTCACAAAAAGAATAGTCGACTATGAAAACAGATTGTAGATGAATGAATAAAAAACACGATATCGTCAGCGGAGGGTAAAAATCTAAATTTCAGAATCCTGGTCGGTGGCCTATGCTTCCACAGGGGGTATCAGCCAGCTCTGTCAGATGCGTAGAATTCACACATATACCTCAATAGTCGAACGCTATTTTAATGGTGAATGAAAAAAACAATGAACCTGCAAGTTTAGTATTTCCAAATCAATATACTTATCGTGAATGAATTAATCAACCCTGTGTTAAATTTATTAACAAACAAGTAAATACTTCAACGTTAATTCAAGAGTTCAGATATACTTAGTGACATTAAAAACAATACATTTTCTTACCCATATCTCTAAACTTAACGTCAAAAGCGGTCAATATGACTCAACGATCACAACATACAATAAGCTCAAATAGGTTATTTCATTTATTCAACTAGTTATATATATATATATATAGACAGGGAGGGGGGAAATATAATAAACAATGGATCAAATAGATTGATGAAGAATATAAACAGTAGTACACGATCTAACATATGGGCAAGCACAACTTAATCATTTTCTCATTTAAATAAATACACAAGCTTTAACAAAATAATTTCCATGAAAAAATCGAGCACGACAAGTTAAATTAATTTTTACTGTGTATCACAGTAAACTTTGAGCCCTAACCATCCTCTCCAGCCGATTAGTACTGAACCACTATGTTTTACAGACAACTATAATAAAACAACAATATAATATACTTTCAGATACACTGACTTGTTGAAACGACCACTCACAGGCTTTACAACTTTAGAAAAGAGGACAGATGATTTTGATATTATTAGGATGTGATTATTTATTGATTGATTTAAATAATGAAAATATTGATACAAAGGGATACCAAAATATATATTACTTAATTACGCTTGTTACCTTTTGTGGAGGAGAATAAGCCGCCGACCAGGATTCCCCAACCAACTCTGTCCTGGGCAATCTTTTCCAGGTGCTTCCAATCGCTATCCATTCTTTTGATTTGAGATTACCATCCTATAAGTGTTCTTCGTGCTTCTTTGGACAGCATCAGTGCAACTTCTTGTGTGTGTGAGTCATTTTCTTCATGACCAGAGTACAACAGCCCGACCGTTGTTGCTACCTTGACGTGGTGGTCGGGCTTGCCTATCGTAGTGAAACAACCGAGCAACCGATCCCAGTGTGGTAAAAACGGGGAACCAACGAGATACACCCTCTGTGTATCTGGTGACCCGACGGCCAGTTCTCGTGAACTGGCAGGTGTAGGCATAGCACTAAGCATGAGGGCGGAACAAGCACTGCTAGAGTGGATCCCCGTCAACAGTCGTTTATGTGCTGTTCGGTTAAATGGCTCCGTAAGAACTCGGAAGGAAAGGGACACACGTCGTTGCCTTTTTGTCGTTTCTGCCTACGCTCCCACTGACTGCAGCTCAGATGAAGTGAAAGATGAATTTTACAGAAAGCTATCTGAACTTCTTCAGAAAGCTAAACGTTCAGACATAGTACTCGTAGCAGGTGACTTTAATGCCCAGATAGGTAGTTTAAACCAAACAGAAAGGCATTTAGGTGGGTGTTTTTGTATTCCGGCACAACGAACAGATAATGGTGGTCGTTTGCTGCAACTGTCCACAGACAATCGTTTATTTTTAGCAAACACAAATTTTAAGCATAAGGAGACATCGTCTAACATGGCGGTCCCCTACACCAAACCAACGATGGACTCAAATAGACCATATCGCCATCAGTCATCGTTGGAGAGGGTTGGTAGAAGATTGTTGCTCATTCTGGAGTACCTGCTTGGACTCCGACCATGCCCTAATACGGGTATGCATTTGCTTGCGCCTCACTGGACGCAAAATGCCACACTAAAAAAGACCCATCACAACTGAATTGAGTAGCGAAAAAACCAAAAGTGGGTTCCAGGAACAACTGAGGTCACACTTAGGTAGTTCTGAAAACGAGGCTGACCCAGATGTTGCTTGGAAAAATATACAGGCAGCTGTGGAAACAGCAGTGACATATATCAATGATTTAAACCACAGGGTTACAGAGAAACAATGGATTTTTTCACGGTCTATTGCACTGATGGATTCTCGTAAATTCATCCCATCAGGTTCTGAACACGATGAAGAGCGTAAAGAAATCAGATCCAGGTTAAGCAAAAGTCTAAGAAACGACCGTGAGCAGTGGTGGGCAACAAAAGCAAAAGAGATGAAAAAGGCGGCGGCTATAGGGAACACAAGAGAGCTCTATAGACTAATAAAAGAAACGAACTAATAAGTCAAGTGTAAGTGAGACGATTTCAAAAAACGATGGCACTCTTAGGTGCTCTCAGACCGAACGTTTAGAACGATGGGCGAAATAGCTTAAGGAGCACTTCAGCCGGCCTTTATCTAATCTACACTTACCCACTATTCCAAGACACCCTGAATGGAATATTAAAATAGGTATCCCGAATCTAACTGAAGTTTAAAAAGCTATAGCTAATATGAAATAAGGAAGAGCAGCTAGTCCAGATGGATTGGCTCCAGAAGTCTTTAAGGATGGTGGTCCAATTTTAGCGGTTAGGTTAGGGAGTCAGATGTTATTCCATCTTACTGGTCGCAATCACTTATCGTCCCAATATATAAGAAAGGGTCAAAATCATCTTGTGACAACCACAGAGGGATTAGTTTAACAAATATAGTATCTAAAATATTAGTCTCGATAATTATCAAACGCCTAATCAAGACTCGTGAACTGCAAACACGAGAGAACCAAGCTGGCTTCAGACCTGATCGTGGCTGCATCGACCACGTATTCACCATTAGTCAGGTTCTAGAACACAGGCATACTTATCGGCGTCCGACAATGGTGGTCTTTCTTGACTTAAAAGCAGCATTTGACTCGGTAGACCGCGAGATTCTGTGGCAGTGTCGGTCATTGAAAGGCGTACGTCAGAAGTACATAAACCTTGTAACGGCTCTTTACTCGAACACTACTAGTCGAGTCAGAGCTTTTGGCAACCTCAAGTGGTGTCTGTCAATGCTGTCCACTTTCTTCATTTTTGTTTAACTTCATCATAGACCTATTGATGGATCGTCGACTGAATTCTCAGGTATTGATCTCCTTCCAGGAGGTCTACTTATGGACTTAGAATACGCAGATGACACCTGAACTAAGGATAGGGAGTGAAGTGGTCGAACGCGTTGACAACTTCACTTATCTTGGAAGTCTGATCAGCCCTAATGGGCTGGTATCGGACGAAATCTCAGCACGGATTCGAAAAGTTCGTTTGCCTTTTGCCAACTTACGTCACCTGTGGCGAAGGCGAGATATCCTTCTATCAATAAAACGACGAGTATAA